TTCCCCCATTCCCGCATTCCCGTATTCCCCCATTCCCGTATTCCCGCATTCCCCCATTCCCGTATTCCCCCATTCCCATTCCCTATTTTAAAGATAGCCGTGTTATTTCCTACAAATTTAGCTTTAGTGTAGCTTTATTGAAAGTATAAAAAACGTGGAAACGGTGAAGTACTGTAGATTGAAAATAATTATTAAACTATGATTGAAATTATCGACGTACGTAGAATGCTATATTTCGTTGTATTAAATTTCAATAGTATTAATGAGAATTTTGTTTGATATTTTTATAAATATATTTCATGTTATTTAGTATATTTTATGTTATTTAAGTTTTGCACACAATGATATAATCAGTGTGAGTACAATGACTCCGTTTCAATTTGAGCATATTGATATATAAAAAAGTGAGTATTTTGATAGCGTAGCCTTCACAGAATACATAAACAGAATATAAGGTAAATTAAAATCAGCAAAGCTTTACCTACCTTAATATAAGGCGCTCAAATATGTAAATTTTCCGCGAACAATCAAACATTTTTTTTTGCCTTTCCTCGACGAAAGCTGTTGGACGAAAAGTTAACGTGCATGGGCCATGAGTGATGAAAATGCTCGTCCGAAAAACCCGGTAATTAATATTGTTGTAATTTACGAATTTGCCACGTGACCGGTACGCTCACCGCTCATCACCGCTCACGACGACACGAAATTTAGAGCTATATGAAAGTTGCATGCCATATATGGCATGCAACAAAAATTGATCAAAGCTGTTGATAATGAAAATAAAGAAATGTATATCCTGGGTGATCTGAACTGTAATATGCTAAAAACATATAACGATTCAAATATTCCAACAAAGAAAATAAAATCACTATATGAATTATACCAATTAACACAACTGATAGATGATGCTACTCGAATAACTCCAACAACCACCAGTCTTATTGATTATATTGTTACTAATATGCCAGAGAAAATCTCTGATTCTGGTGTCATTCACACATGTATTAGTGATCATAGCTTAGTATTTGCAATCAGGAAAATTTCTATTGTTACAAAACAAGAAAATACTCTTGAAATTAGAAACATGAAAAATTTTGATGAAGGAAAATTTATTGAAGAACTGCTAAAACAACACTGGGAATATGTGTATTTCTTTGCTGATTATCCAAATGCCATGTGGGAAATTTGGAAAAATTTATTTCTTGAAGTCCTAGACAAACATGCACCACTTAGATAAGATCGAAAAAAGTCCCTTGGATTACAAGTGATATAAAGAAACTTATGAATACATGGGACAAGTTTAAACGAAAAGCCATTTTGAGAAACCATGAGAATGATTGGTTAAACTTTAAAACAGCTAGAAATAAAGTAAATATAGAACTAAGAAGTGCCAAAAAAAGATTATTATTCTTCGAAAATAGCTGGTCAAAAAATTAATCCCAAGAAAGCTTGGAAAAGTATAAACAACTTGTTAGGTAGGCAAAACAAACCAACAGTGGTAAATGAACTAAATGTAGGTGAACAAAATTTGACAAGTCCTGAAGATATTGCGGAGGGCTTTAATGAATATTTTTCATATATTGGACCAGATCTATAGCTAGCAAAATAGATTATTCAAATTCCAATTTTGAAACGAATGTCAAAAATTCTCAATCAGAATTTGCTGCTTTTCAACCTGTTACTGTCAGTCATGTCTCTCATCTTTTGCATGGACTTTCCAACGATAAAGCCACTGGCATCGATAAAATCTCTTCCAAAATTATTAAATTAGCTGCACCTGTCATCTCAGATTCACTGGCACTTATTTTCAATCAGGCTATTACTTTATCTTCTTTTCCTGATGAATGGAAGGTGGCTAGAGTGATGCCTCTATATAAAAATGGCCAGCGTAGTATTCCTGGAAACTACAGACCAATATCGGTTTTACCGGCCATTAGTAAAATTATGGAACGGATATTGTATGATCAACTGTATAACTATTTAACAAAATTTGAGCTTCTCAGTGATTCACAATTTGGATTTCGAAAATTTTACTCTACAGCTAGTGCATTACTAGACTGTACTAATGATTGGTATGTAAATCTAGACAGAAAAATGTTTAACCTAGTAGTTTTAATTGATTTGAAGAAAACCTTTGATACTGTTGATCATCAAATTCTGCTGAACAAATTAGAGCTCTATGGAATAAAAGGACAAGCTCTAACTTTGCTCAAATCCTATCTCACAAACCGAAACCAGAAGTGTCAAATAAAAAACTCATTTTCATCTGAGCGCTCGATTAAATGTGGTGTACCACAAAGCTCTATATTAGGGCCATTATTCTTTTTGTTGTACATCAATGATTTGCCACATTGTCTAAACAAAACAAAACAGCGGTTGTTTGCTGATGACACAAATTTGACTGCTTCAGAAAATTCTATGACTGACCTAGAGACTGCAGTAAATTCTGATTTAGAGAACCTGGAATGGTTAATGAATGGTTAATAGCCAATAAACTTAGCCTCAATGTAGCTAAGACAAAGTTTATGTTGATTGGCTCTAAACCTATGATCAAAAATATTTCTGATTCTTGTCCAAATGTTTACATTGAAAATATACAAATTAAACAAGTTCATGAATGCAAAACTCTAGGAGTAACAATTGACCAGCATTTATCTTGGAAAAGTAATACCGAAAATATTTGCAAAAAAGTTACAGCAGGAATCTCTGCTATTCGTCGGATCAAACCATTGTTGATCAAGATATACTTATTTTGATATATAACACTATTGTTCGTCCGTACTTTGACTACTGCTGTGAAGTATGGGATGTATTTGGTGAAACTCAATCAAAACGACTGCAAAAACTGCAAAATAGAGCGGCAAGAATTATTCCGAATATAAGGAATGACGTAGATTATACGATTGCTTTACGTACTTTGGGCTGGGAGCCACTCCAAACTGAAAGGAAGAAAACTAAAGCAAGAATGATGTATAAGTTATTAAACAAAATGGGCCCAAAATCACTCACAAATCTATTTTCGTATAAGAGTGAGAAAACTAATTACCACCTTCGGGATGTCTCAAGTGGTCTTTATTTACCAAAACCACGTACAAATAGCATGAAAAATAGTTTTATGTACGACGGAGCAAACATTTGGAATTCTATACCAAAAGAAATTAGGGAAAGCAAGTCACTTTCTTCCTTTCGAAATAAAATCGCTGCTCACATTAGTACTTGGTAACCTTTGTAAATATAATTTACCTGTAAATAGCTCAAAACATTTGTCATATCTTTTAAATTTATATATTACTGTAAATAGCTTAGCTTATCATTATCATATTCTGCATGTAAAATAATTTTCTGGCACACGCCCCCCGTGGAAATCAGCTACGGTTGACGGGGTCAGCGTGGATAAATAAAGTTCTCCTACTATTATCTGATAAAACACTTCCACTCGTGTTTTAAAGACTGAGTCCCACGGTAAAATGCTGTGCGCGCTTTTTGTTCATGTTTACATATGCCAAGGGTCGATCAAATAAAGCGTTATATACAAAATATATGATCATATGGGTAACGTATATAACGAATCGTTTTAAAATACAAAGAAATTAATTGCATTAAGAAGAAATATATGAGTGCAATGGTAAGAATATTTTCAGGAGGTGAAAGTTGAATGGAAAATTCCATCTGTCACCGAATGAAAATATTCTTACCATTACATGAATAAAAACATTATTTGTTTTATATAATACCGAAATAGACTAATAATGCTTTTTCAAGAACATTTTATTAAAACACAGTTTAATATTAAAACAAATACACACAAATATAACAGAAACTGAATGTTTCAAACCATTCAAAACACAAAGAGTGCAATGAAATAAAACGTATAGTACAATTGCACTCGCAAAGAGTGCAATGGAACGTATTCCATTCCACTCTTGGGAAATGGAATTTTCTATTCAATATCACGTGACCATCAGCAGCTAATTAAACGATCAGAATTCAATAAGGTATTATATAATATTTACCATCGCAAGAAGATTTTATTGACAATTGCAAAGGTCGTCTTCGCCAAAATTCAGAAGCAAGTGCCGTAAAAAATCACTGTGTCTTCACTAGATTCTGTTCTGGTAATTATCTGATAATCCACATCTCATGTACGTCCTTCTTTAATTTTATACGCACAAATCCTATCTCGAAGTGATCGGTATTATTCTTTATACATAAACACCGTCACATTATAGACTTCAATTTTTCGTTTATTACAAATAAATATAATGAAATGCTTAACAGCAGGTCAAGCTATACAGGGTGTATAGAAAAATTGAACAGTCTTGAAATTGCTCTCAATTTCGCATAACAGCTCGTGGTATCAAGCTTTTGTCATATATAGATTCCTTGAGTACCCATAAAGGCTAGTTTCCACTCAGGAAAATTATCCGCGGATTGGAACGGACAAGAAAATTTTTCTTTGTGTTAAAGTCATTAGTTCAAACTCAGGGCTCACAAGACAAAGAAAAAGTTTCTTGTCCGTCCCAATCCACAGATAATTTTCCTGAGTGGAAAGTAGCCTTAATGTAGAATAATGAAAAAAAATACTCGTGTAAACCAGGGGGTGTTTCTTTTCCAACAAACTAAAACTGGCTTGCGCGCGAAATCTTTAATCGCATTTTGAGTTAATGGATGGAACATTTGTTTAGTTTTTAATTATTGTTCAAAATATCAGACAATTTGCTTTAGTTTAAGTCCTTTAACTACTCATTCTTTCCTAAAAACTCAGCTTTATCACATTTGCATATTGCTGACATAAGCAAATTAGGCAAAAGCATTAATTAAGCATGCAAAAGGCTGATTGTTTAGTTTGCGTGAATAGTTAATAGGCTTAAACTGAAGCAAATTGTCTGAAATTTTGGGCAGCAATTAAACAACCAACATAATTTTCGCCCATTAACTCAAAATACGGTCAAAGGTTTTAAATCTCGCGCGCAAGCCATCATTAGTTTGTTGGAAAAGACACATCCCCCTGGTTCACAAAATTTGACTTCGAGAAATGTTTTTCATTATTCTACATTACAAGTACCCAGAGAAGCTATATATATAAAAAACTGGATGCAAAATCATAGGGAGATCAACATAGTCATCTTCGTTATTCATAATTTCGATTAGTAAAATATGAATCTTCCTAGTGAAACCCTTTTTTTTAAGATTGCGGAGATATTCAGGGACAGAATTCGATACCTTAGCACCAACTCTATTATGCTGTTGTTTTGTACGAGAAGATTTTATCTGATATTAATTATCAGCAGTAAAGGATTTGGTATTATAGGAATGAACAGTAGCAACTTGAGTAAAGAGATCCATTACATTTCTAGGTGCCGAATTATATGACTAATGTCGCACATTAATTTAGAAACTGTTTCAACATATAACATGATCATAGGCAAGTTATTTGTATTTTTAAAGAAAGGAACGGCATGATCGAGATTATTAGCGAAATGCATTAACCGCAGAGCACGCTTTTGAAGTACCAAGAGTTTTTTAAATTAGTTTGAGAAGCATTTCCCTAAACAGTAATAGCGTAGGATAGATAGGGGGAAATAAGTGATCGATAGATACTTGTAAGTACCTGAAGAGGAACAGAATGTCGGAGTCTGGCGAATATATATAATATAATATATATGTTGTTTCCAAGTTAAATGTTCATCTAGTAAAACTCCCAAATATTTAATGTATTCCTTGCGTTCAAGAGAAATGTATTTCTTGTCCTTCCAGTCAAATATTGTTAATTTGGTATATTTACTTAGTAGTTTAGATTTCTTTGATAAGGAGGAAAAATAATAAAATTTGATTTTTTAGTATTCATTGTTAATTTATTTGCATTTAACCATCTGTATAAACTTTTTCTAGTTCTGTGTTAACAACGCTTTCCAGGGTTTTAGGATTCTTGTTTGAATATAATAAGTTGGAATCATCAGCAAACAAATGGAAACTAAATTGGTCAGAAGAGTAATGAATATCGTTTATATAAATAAGAAAAAGTAGTGGACCAAGTACTGGTCCTTGTGGTACACCACAAATTGTTCTTTCGTTGTTCGAAATATTGTTATCAATTTCCGTAGTTTGAATTCGACTTGTTAAATATGATGAAACCAATCATAGATTATACCTCTGAATCCCAAACATTGAAGTTTACGTAATAAAATTGTATGATCTACAGTATCAAATGCTTTTTGTAGATCAATAAAAATACCACACGTAAATTTTTTATTGTCGATATTTTCCTGTATG